TTAACAAGCTTGCTACAAACCTACTACAAACACATCTTGTTGGCAAGTTGTTGAACGGCATTGGCACAACTTGTTATTAAAGCTTGCTACTGTACAAATCTATTGCAGACACATTTTGTTGACAAGTTGTTGGCACAACTTGTTAACAAGCTTGCGACAAGCCTGTTGAGGAGACATCCTGTTCACAAGTTGTTTGGAAAAACATTGTCACAACTTGTCAGCAAGCTTGCTACAAACCTACTACAAACACATCTTGTTGACAAGTTGTTGGAACGGCATTCGCACAACTTGTTAACAAGCTTGCTACAAATCTATTGCAGACACATTTTGTTGACAAGTTGTTGGAACAGCATTGTCACAACTTGTTAACAAGCTTGCAACAAGCCTGTTGAGGTGACATCCTGTTCACGAGTTGCTGGAAAAACATTGTCACAACTTGTCAGGAAGCTTGCTACAAACCTATTGCAAACACATCTTGTTGACAAGTTGTTGGAATAGCATTGCCACAACTTGTTAACAAGCATGCCACAAACCTATTACAAACACATCTTGTCGACAAGTTGTTGGAACAGCATTGTCACAACTTGTTAACAAGCATGCGACAAACCTATTACAAACACATCTTGTTGACAAGTTGTTGGACCGAACAGCATTGTTAGAACTTGTTAACAAGCCAGCTACAAATCTATTGCAAACACATCTTGTTGACAAGTTGTTGCAACGGCATTCTCACAACTTGTTAAACAAACTTGCTACAAACCTATTGCAAGCACATCTTGGTGACAAATTGTTGGAACAGCATTGTTACAACTTGTTAACAAGCTTGCTATAAAGCTATTGCAAACACATCTTGTTGACAAGTTGTTGGAACAGAATTGTTACAACTTGTTAACAAGCTTGCTACAAACCTACTACAAACACATGTTGTTGGCAAGTTGTTTGAACGGCATTGGCACAACTTTATAACAAACGTACTTGCAGGGAGGTGAGTCCGGGATTGGACGCACCGAGGGTGGCTGGAAGTTTCCCGAACTTACTGAGTGAAGCGAGGTGAGTTCGGAAACTTCCAACCACCCGAGGTGCGTCTAATCCCGGACTCACCGAACCTGCAAGTACGTTTGGTTTTTATCCCATACACCGAGCCATACACACATTTGTAGCTCTTCGCGATATATTCGTCGATGTTTTGTGAACATTTTCCCGGCCAAAAAAATCACTGGGCAAGAAAATACTTTTTTTATCTACGTCTACATTACCTTTACTGCATTTTTTCTTTGGTTTTTCTTCAGTCTCAGTATGTTAGTCACCGAAAAAGTTCTTTAAAGTTTAGGTTTATCGGCTAAATCTTGTCCGCCATATTTGTTAACGTAAGCAGTTTAGCTGGTGAGTTCGGGCGAAAAGCGGGTGAGTTCGGCAAAAAGCAGGTGAGCTCGACGACAAGCTCACCTGCTCTAAACCAATCAGAAAGCCGCTTTTAACACAGGTATGGGATAAGTTAACAAGCTTGCTACTAATCTACTGTATTGCAGACACATTTTGTTGACAAGTTGTTGGCACAACTTGTTAACAAGCTTGCGACAAGCCTGTTGAGGAGGCATCCTGTTCACGAGTTGTTTGGAAAAACATTGTGACAACTTGTCAGCAAGCTTGCTACAAACCTATTGCAAACACATCTTGTTGACAAGTTGTGGGAACAGCATGGATGCAACTTAACAGGCTTGCTACAAACCTGTTGAGGACATCTTGTTGACAAGTTGTTAGAACAGCATTGTCACAACTTGTTAACAAGCTTGCAACAAACCTATTGCAAACACTCTTGTTGACAACTTGTTAACAAGCTTGCTTTACAAGCCTATTGCAAACACATATTGTTGAAAAGTTGTTGGAACAGCATTGATGCAACTTATTAACAAGTTTGCTACAAAGCTGTTGCGAAAAATCTTGTTGACAAGTTGTTGGGACAGCAGTGTCATAACTTGTTAACAAGCTCGGTGATTATCCGAGAATATTCACCTCGACTTCGTCTCGGCGAATATTCCCCGATAATCACCTCGCCTTCGGCGAATAATTGTTAAATATTAGCAAAATAGGATTTGAACAAAATTAAAATGCAAGGTTAGCAAAAGCTTCTCTGCATTGCAAAAGCTGCAAATTTCTAAAAACATATACTGTACATACCATTGAACATACATGCAGTATACAGTGTATGTAACCACTGCACATTATTTTTTTTTTTCGTGACAGCTACTGTACAGCATACAGTACATGCTTTGGTGCTGGTAGTTTTGACAGGCAGGCCCCAAAAATTATGTCCAGGCTTGTGCATGATAGATAAAATAATACAGTGTTGTTGATTTACAGGAGACGCAGGTGATAGTTGTTCATCTTGTTGGTGCCACGATACTGTTCGTATTTGGAAATATTTACGTATGGTTTCAAGTGGTCATATCATATCATATGAAAAGATTGGGACTGATAAGTTTGTGTCTTACTACAACGCGACTTATCTTGGCTCTACTTTCGTCGATAAGCTTTGTTGTAACATATGCAATGGTGAGTTCTGCCGCGGGAAAGAAGCCTGGTGATAATTTACACTGGCATTCTAGTGACCCAGGATACAAGGAACATGTCATTGGGGACGCATTCGAGTGGGTGATGGTGTTTTCTTTCCTACTTGTCTTCCTCACATTCACAAAGGAACTGGATCAAATTCGATTACAGATTCGTCTTGTGGGATATGAAGGCAGTTATGACCCCATTCAATCTCAATCAGAACATATCGATGTTTAGTACATTTTACTGAAGGGAAACTTCATAAACAGTGACTTATGAAAATTTTAACTTTGGGGTCCAGTATTGCCCGCAGCATAGAATATGAACCGTTGGATGAAGTAAAACCACTTCTTGACATTTCGAGTGAAGGCCCTTCAACTTCACCTGGAGAAAATACGTAAAAACTTGCCTTTTTATTATTATATGATAACGTTAAGAATTCAAGCGCTTTCATTGGTCAAGTGCCATGATCTATTATTAGAGGATAGATGAACATATACGCGTGATATTTGTAAAATTTCAAACTTTTTCAAATTTCCAAATGTTTGGGTGGATAAAATGTAAGCTATTCACACGTTTAATTCCGGGTTTTTCTTTTTATTATATAAAAGAAATAGATAAGATTTTGCCGTTGTCTGTTCAGTTATAGACTGATACACAGTATGATATGGCTCGCGGGAGCCACTTTTTTGTTCTTTCCACATTATGACGTCATACTGTGTATCTATAACTGGACAGACAACGGCAAAATCTTCTCTATTTGTTAATGGTACACTGCAAAGGGCCTTGGCTTCAAATGTCGAGAAGTGTTTCGCCTATTTTAACTAACGCCTTACGGTTAATTGATTTCTGTAAGGGCTGTCATATGAGCTGGCCCGGTTCGGTAAACCGAACTGGCTCGCTTTGAATTCTCGAATGAATTCTCGAATACAGTGCATATAAAAACAATATAATAATATGAGGTGAGATCTCAGCACTTGCGAGCCAGTCCGGTTTACCTGGTTAGCCCGACTCATGTCGAACCCTTATGTCTGATTCGAAACTCCTTCGTTTATATACACCTGTAGAACATTGTGATTACCCCCATCCTTTATTAAGTGAATCATTCCCAATATGAACTAATAGCAAAATATGCACACGAACGTTCTTTATAGCGTTCACTGATATGGTTAAATAATAAATAATAAATAATGGTAAATTGTATGAAAATGTCATCAAGTATCCTTTGATGATGGCACTGTAACTTAAATGGGTTTTTTTAGGAAAACGTTAAATTTGTTTAGCCCCCCCCACACCTTTAATAAGCCTCCAGTCCAGTCTGTCCAGACCACTGGGAAAAGTGACCGCCCAGGCGGCTAAATAGAGGAACTCTGGCTAAATAGAGGAAATACTGTAGTTATTAATGGTTAAACAATCAAATACGAACTAAACCAGTGAGAGGTACAGCGGTATAGCAGTAGTGGAAGTCGTATCTGAACCTCACTGGAAGATAGTTTTTAAATATTTATTATTACGAGCTTTCGACTGCCAGTCTATAATAAATATTTAAAAACCAGAGAACGTCTAAAAACTTATTAGAAATATAAACTGTCATAGATTGTAGTTTGTACAAATGATTTATTCAAATGGGGTCGATGGCCGGAAATCCACCGGATAGTGATTTATTCTTTCTAAAGTTGTCCGTTTTTTTGTAAAAACCCAGTTCAAACATATCAATACGTATACAAGGTGTCCCAAAAAATGTCTATCCAGCCTTCGTAGAACGGGACCCCGCTTCCATATTGGATGAGATTGGCTAAAAATTCGCCTTGATTGCCATGCTAATTTTCTTCATGCAGTGATGTGGTTCAATAACGAAAAATACAGTTCATTTCCAAACATATAGGCCCTCCTTTGAGACGCTTATGGCTGTTATATTGTCCTCGTTTCATGTTTAACTAGATTGTTGACACAGTTTTCAATGCAAAGTGTTGCTTTTTATGGATCTTTATGATATTATAAAAATACAAGTAAAGACAGTGCGGTTTATTCATGGTGCTGTATTGCCATTTACTATACGGTTTCATTTGCAGTTTTATTGCTTGGATTTGCGACAATGGTTAAGCATTCTGAAAAAGGTGTGTTTTCAATTT